GTCTCAAAATATCAAAAGTACTTATGATCGAGAGCTTAGATCTTCTTATATTATATATTTGACAATAAATCTAATTTTACTTCCATTTTTTCAAATTTCTAAACTTCCAAAATTTCCATTTTTTTAAATTTGCAAATCTTCAAATTATTTTCCAAATTTCCGAATTATCCAATTATTTTCCAGATTGTCGAATCCAATTTTTTCCAAATTTCAAAATCCAACTTTTTTAAATAATTTCAAATTCGAATTTATTACTAGGATTGTTGTGTTGTCATCTCTGTGTAAATTTTCAAATTAATCAGATGTGAAATCGGTGAAAATAAGGTTGAAAGATACATACTCGTACATACAAGGCAAGCTGATAAAAGCGTGTTAAAAATGACCGCAGTACTTTAAATTTATGGACCAACTTACTCAAGTATAAAATACAACCCTGTTAATTTCTTACTTTTTGGCACGAAAGTCCAACTAAAAACTCATTTTAACCTGACTGAATCCTACATTTCGTAAATTTGGGGTATAACATCATCGGCAATTGTTACACTTTCGCTTTTGATGACAATGGATCGCAAGAAATGTCAGTGAACTCGACTGTTATTGCATATCCGCATTCAAGTTACACAATACCTATTATTTGTGCTGTTTTTGTCAATATTTCTTTAGTGAGGCTCCAATAACTTTTCAACGGATCTAGATAGACAAAAACTTTTTTTCCAAAAAGGTCCCCACAACTTAATTTTTGAACAGATCACGTGATCAAGCTGAAATGCGAGTGGATAACACTGACGCATGAAGACCACATTTTAACATAGAAGTAACAGTTGAAAATTTTATGTTTGTGGCGGGGCGGTCATGTAATAGCTTATTTCAAAACCCTACAATATAAAATCACAATCTTTCAAAATGTTGGACTGACAGCTTGTCATATTTTTTCTCTTAAAAATTATCTAATTGGCGAGAAAATTGGTCTTCTGCTACTGATTAGCGCATTTTGCATTAATCTGCATAAAATGAATAAGAAGCTAAAAATAAACCTGGTGTTTAAAATTCAACTCTCACCAAGAGATACAAAGTCGGTTGAATGAGAATAAGGCTGCGCATTTTGCTAATTAAGATAACAGCACTTAGAAAGTTTCGCAACTCCGAGTATTTCTAGAGATGAATGAAAGAACCAAATTCTCCCAAAATAGTTTTTATTTTTACCTGGCTTCATTTGAAAAGTGAAATCAAAATAAAAAGTTCATAACATTGCCAGATTTTCTCATTTACAATATCGCTCAATTAGAATTTCAATATGACGTTTCGTCTGTTGTTCTCAATCATCAACTTTACTTTTCCTTAGAAACGCCATATTGGATTATTCCACAGATGAACAGATCAAATTCTACGCACTCAAGGCATTTTGAGCAATCACAAAAAGGCTTCTCGATAAGCTACACGAAATTTAACATTTCACTGTCACCGTGAATGTACGACAACTGAATGCTTCTTTATCAATACACGCAGCCCCCACAAAAACTGAACAGAAAAACCTGACCATTTTATCACTTGTTGTTCATGGCAAGATAAATCGATATTTAAAAACTTCTTGATTTCTAATAAACATACGTAGGTGTTTACTTTTGTTTTGTCACTCAGTATAGATACAATATCACGTCACTAAAATTGGAAACCTATGCCTGGCTCATAAAAACTGAAGCTGGGCTGATGATATTATGTAACAAACAATGACTATCTGATAATCTACTACTTGCTGTTTTTTCTTTGAAATAACTAAGGCTTGGCAAACGAAACCTCATATTGAAATTTTAATCATGTCATCTTGTAGAGGAGAAAAAGTCACAATGTTAGTCTACTTGACATTCTGAAATCCCATCCTAAATAAGGCCAGGAAAAAATAAAAACGATTTTGAAAAAGATTCGCTTCTCTCCAGAACTACTCAAAGTTCCGAATGTGCCATTTTCTTAGTTATTTAAATGCGCAACTTTGCCCCCATTTAACTGATTTTGTATTTCTTTCCGACATCCCAATTGTGAGTGTCGACAAGAAAAGAGTATTAAAAAATCAAACACAATCACCATACAAGGCATATAATACGAGAAACAGTTCTACCTAGACCTGATAAACCTAACACAACGACCATACCTTTATTTAGGACCAAAATCATACCTACGGTTTGGGGTAATTTCAGAAAAAATATATAAGAACGGATATTTGCTTTAGCAAGACCAGGCACACAAATTAATAGTAAACGTAAGCATCAAATGATTCGTTGATTAGCTGTATCGTCATCTGTGTTTTAATTATTTGCACTCCTGCAACATTAATGGTCCTTATACAGACGGTGCCTCCTATGACCCATTTTTTAAATTTATTTACTCATTTCTTCTATTGTGTTTAAGAAGTAAATAAATATTATTATTATCATCTTCTCTTCTCTATTCTATCATTATCATTATCGTTATCGTTATCGTTATCGTTATCGTTATCGTTATCGTTATCGTTATCGTTATCGTTATCTTATCATTATATATCATTATCATTATCATTATCATTATCATTATCATTATCATTATCATTATCATTATCATTATCATTATCATTATCATTATCATTATCATTATCATATCATTATCATTATCATTATCATTATCATTATCATTATCATTATCATTATGATTATCATTATCATTATCATTATCATTATCATTATCATTATCATTATCATTATCTAAATTATCATTATCATTATCATTATCTAAATTATCATTATCATTATCATTATCTAAATTATCATTATCATTATCATTATCTAAATTATCATTATCATTATCAGTATCTAAATTATCATTATCATTATCATTATCTAAATTATCATTATCTAAATTATATTATCATTATCATTATCTAAATTATCATTATCATTATCATTATCATTATCATTATCTAAATTATCATTATTATTATCATTATCTGAATTATCATTATCATTATCATTATCTAAATTATCATTATCATTATCATTATCTAAATTATCATTATCATTATCATTATCTAAATTATCATTATCATTATCATTATCTAAATTATCATTATCTAAATTATCATTATCATTATCTAAATTATCATTATCATTATCATTATCATTATCATTATCAATATCATTATCATTATCATTATCATTATCATTATCATTATCATTATCATTATCATTATCATTATCATTATCATTATCATTATCATTATCATTATCATTATCATTATCATTATCATTATCATTATCATTATCATTCATTATCATTATCATTATCATTATCATTATCATTATCATTATCATTATCATTATCATTATCATTATCATTAGCATTATCATTATCATTATCATTATCATTATCATTATCATTATCATTATCATTATCTAAATTATCATTGTCATTATCATGATCATTATCAGTATCTAAATTATCATTATCATTATCATTATCCATTATCTAAATTATCATTATCATTATCATTATCATTATCATTATCAGTATCATTATCATTATCATTATCATTATCATTATCATTATCATTATCATTATCATTATCATTATCATTATCATTATCATTATCATTATCATTATCATTATCATTATCATTATCATTATCATTATCATTATCATTATCATTATCATTATCATTATCATTATCATTATCATTATCATTATCATTATCATTATCATTATCATTATCATTATCATTATCATTATCATTATTATTATTATTATTATTATTATTATTATTATTATTATTATTATTATTATTATCATTATTATTACTATTATTATTGCGTGTTGGAAATATGATCTTTCAGGAAGTGTGAAGTAAATCTCAAACGCGGACAACCCACCGGTCCTCACTTCGTGTACCGTTGTGCTCTATCCTAAATTTCAAAACAAGATCTCATGAACCGATATGCATCAAAGTTCCGTAATTTCAAACCCTAGTAAACGTTTTAGATAAACTGTCTTTTATAACGTATTCACCATCCCTCTTGTTATCTTCTACAAGTATTATGATTGGACCACTTTTTTCAATCAGTGCAATAATATAAGGAAGCGGGTATCTTTTTAGGTTTTCCCCCTTCCTTGACGTCGATATTTGATCGATCTTCAATCAAAAGTGAATAAATTAAAAATGGACTTTTCTTGACAGTGTCAGGTCTTATCGAAAGATCTATATGTAAATAGCTGTTCATATGTCTAGGGGAGCAACCTATTACCTAAAATTAGAATTGAGGGATAATTACATACAGGAGAGGCATACCAAATTTTATCTGAGTACGACCAAAATCATACATTTAAATTAGTGTTCAAGTAAACTTGAAAATGTTAATAAATTGACCGTATTACGTGTATCACCGGTAGTTGTTTCATCGCCTAACAGCGAATGAATACTGATGGTTTCCGTGGACGCAGGTTCAAACAAAAAAATTCAAATATAGCGGGCCTCAAAGTTACTGTATCGCCCATAGGCATAAAAGACTGTATGGGCTGACAGGTGAAATTTAACGCACAGAAAACTTTTTTATTAAGTACATTTATCCGCTAGGCGGTTTATAATAATCATTTCTTCTATTGTGGTCTTATTATATCTGTATCATTTAGATTCTTACTCATAGATAATATAAATATCTCAAGTTTCACAAAAACAACAAAAGGGCACTAGGTACCATTTAAATTGATGTATCACTTTTAAGTCACTACTAAATTATCAGTGTAGGTTATTAGGTTCGCTAAAGTCATGTAAAATACCAAATATCGTTCTAGGTTTCTTAGTAGTTACTTGTCCATGCTATTTTTTGTTTTGTTTATCTCATATATTCTTTGGTGCAATAGAAAATACATACATACGTGCCAATATCCTGCATCACCTCTTACGAAGGGTAATCCATCTGTTATCCACCTCACTGTATCCAACATCCACTTTTTTTTCACCCTACTACATTACACCCTACCTTTATGTTTATGGTCGTGATGTTTGCTGGCCGCAGCTTCCTTTTCGACCTCATGGTTCACTTTATCTTCAGTGGGTTCCGCATGTGCACCCTTACTATCATCAACTACAACTTCTTCACTTTCACCTTCTTTCAATTCTTCTGATGGGTGTATACGAATGGGTTCCGAAATAACTCCTTCGTTTCCTATTTTATGTCCCGATTCTTTGGCTTTTTCTTCTTCTCTAAGTTTTTCGATTTGTTTGTAGTAGTCAACGGCTGCAGGTTTCTGATCCTCCTCCTGTGGTGAAGGTTTAGATCCGGCCATCCGTTGATCCCTTCTGCGGTTGAACGAGAACGAAAAGGGCTTCCGAAGAACCTTTTCCACCTTTTCACTGGCACCCGTAATGGGGGAATCACTGGACGCGGCGGGTTTAACATCAAGCACGCCCTTTGGGGGCGTGGCGGAGGGCGGGGGCGCGTCGATATGCAGCGGTCGAGGCTCTGCGGCAGCCATTTCCAGTTCAACCCCGGTATCGGTCCAACCCCCCGTCGCGGGGGCTGCAGAAATAGGGGCAGGGGCGACCCCCAACAGCACTAGCAAAATCACTAAGGGCGCCACCCTTTCCCTTGCGCGAACCATCGTACCCGACGCTAAAGGGCAGTGGCATGTACATACGCCACAACCTCCAAGACTAAATTTACGGAGCGGCTCTTATGCGCTAATTCTTTATTTATATAGTACGCCCCACCACTGGGTAATTATGAAAAAAAATGAAGTAAGGATTTTATTTAAATCATGTAACAGGAGAGAATTTAATAGGCGTTAAATCGAAAATAAATGGTGGTTATTGGCAATGTTAATTCTTAATCAATTCGATTTATCGGTATTACTTGCCTTAGTTTTAAGGCAGACTCCGAACGTTACGATAGACGGTTTAAGTGGGGGTTTGTACAAGGATCGATCAAGGAAACCGATTGACTTGCTTGGAAATAGCGTTGGGTATTTTATAGCTGAAGACATACCGCAGCACATCTGCAACAAATGACTCGGTGAGGTGGTGGGTAGACTAAGCAGTCGTAAGCAGAAAGGCTATTGCAACGTTAAAAGGCTATCAGTTGTTGCTTAGAAGAAACCTGAATGTTAGTTTGGGGTTAAGCATTTCGCCAACATAACAAAGCCCACAAAAGACCTGGTCTGAAGCAGAAACCTGAATACCGGGTCACCGCGGCTGCTATAATGAGCCTAAAACACCTTATTATTCCTACTTTCGAGCTACCTAAGGTTACCATAACTGGGAACCGCCTCCTGAGCTTTGGCAGTTCTAGACGCACGAAGATTGGGAGGGTTATGATGAGATGCTGAAACCTGGCGGGTCTTAGGAGCGGCATCTTAGAGGACAGCACGGCGGGGAAAAGCCATGAGAGATAGCGGTAGAAGTGAGTCAGATCACAGACTGTCCGTTAGAGAAGTGTCGCACAGCCCTTATCTGAACAGCATCGAGTATAGACAAAGTAGTAAATAGTTCTGGGTCGTATCTGGGTGTGGCGGGTAACTGAAGGAAAGTGCTTCTTAGCCCCAAATAAATAACCTTTTCCAACCGATTTACGAGACGTGTACTTACCTAATCAAGTTCTTGATTATCTGGATTCTGACCTACTGAAACGAATGGATCATTGAAAGAACTCGCCCATCTATCGAAACCGGAAGAACGCCAAGGCGCTTCTTCTTCGTCAAGATATATAGCACTGTTTTGTGGTATTAAACTCTATCAGGTTGTTGCGTCCCAAACATTTGATAACTTCTAGATCTCTCGTCAGAGTGGAAGTCGCTACTAGTCTTCTTTCTCCAGCTCAGCAGCAGAAATCGGATTGCCACACTGAATACCTGCGTGCAGAGGGCTGCCATCAGCAAAGCTGTGGGTCGGTCTCCTACAGAAAAGGAGGTTGTTGAGATGTAAGAGAAATAGTTTTGGAAACAAGGCCAATTCCTGGAGCACACCCGCGTTGACACTGTGAGATGAATAGGAGAACCAGTCCAGTACGATGGAGAGGTAGTCAGGCACCCATCTGCAAAGCTTCTCTGGGAAGTCATAGGATTGGGGTAAACGACATAAACCTCACCATATGATCGGAGGTGTCAGGTGTCACAAATGTGGCACCCAATGGTACTACTATTCGTCAGAGCGGTCCAGTGGACCTTTGCTCTTAGTTTAAAGTATAGTCGGTCTGTTAGTCTGTCAGGCCTGGCTGCCCAGATACCAAACATGTTTAAGGGGAAAAGGGAAAGAAGGAAAGAAAGAAAGGAGGAAATAGAGCAAAGACGAGAAGTAAATCATTTGAAATAGCTTAAGCATTATTGCTTTGACTACTCGAATAATTTTGTAACTCCAATAAATAACTTTTATCGGTTTTGTATACTGAAATAATTTTGGCTGGTCTGAATTCACAATTTAATTTTGATCACAGTGCGAGGCGCGGCCTGGAATGTTTGCGAACTTGCTCGACTGTGTAGTCTACTGAATCACGCAACAGAGGGTTGCTGAGCGATTTAGCTTGATTATAACGCCGCTGTGTCTGTTGTTTTACATAATCCCTTAGATATGGGATATCAAGATCTCTGTGAATGGTCTCATTTGCACGTACCAAGGGGCGTTAGTGATCGTGCATAGGTTTCTGTTTTGCAGGACTTGCAGTCTCTGCATGGGCGTCTTGGCAAGAAAACACCAAGCCGCGCAAGCGGGGCTGATTGCGGGTCTTATGACCATTTTATACAACCAAATCTTGTTGATCAAACTTAATTTTGAATTTCTGCACAACAAAGGATAAAACTGCCGAAAGGTAATTTGCAATTTTGTTTTCGAAATATCAGTATGTTTCTGCCAGGTCAACCCTTTGTCAATGATGACTCCAAGGTACCTGACAGATTGCTCCCATGGTATACGAGTTCCATTCACTGATATCTTCTGATGGGCCACCGCGACGTTTTTTAATACAATAGGTTGCCTGCGTTTTCGAAATATTAATTTTGATCACCAACGATCCGCCCACTCCAATACTTCCTCCACCGCACTCTACAGCCTGTCGTGAACCAGGTTACCAGAACAAGACTGGGCTAGCAGTGTAGTGTCGTCAGCGTAGAGATACACTTCACAGTTGCTGGGGCGAGGGACGTCATGTATATAAAGTTAATGAAGGATTGGTCCTAAGACTGAACCCTGAGAAACTTTGTTCCTTCTAGAAAATATTTCAACATTTTTAGTAGCAAAAATGGAAAACCCTTTTGGATGAGTTTATACAAGAAGCCCATGTGTCAAATTCCTTTGATACATCTAAAAGCAAGATACCAGTACTTTTGTTCAGGGTGAACCCCCTGGATTTCATGTTCCACCAGTCTAGTGCCTGGTGATCTGACGAGAAATTTTCAAGGTGACGATAAATCACCTTTTCAGGAGCTGACAGCAGGCTAATGGGACAGTTATCCTTGGGGAATATCGAAACTGCCTTCTTTGGGATCATGATGACTTCCACGCCTTAGGAAAGCAATCAGTTCTGAGCATTGCATTGGTTATTGCCACCAGATAAGTCAAAGCCTTGAGCGAAAGCAACTTCAGTGCGTTGTTGGTGATTTGATCCTCTCCAGGTGCTTTACGCACCTTTAGGTCCTTCATGTGGCCTTGGGGCTCTGCTGGTGTGCAAAACGGTATCTCAAAGGATCTCAAAGTCGGGGATAAAAAAGGGAAGAAGAAAAAAAGGAAGGAGGGAGAGCAAAGAAAAAATAAGTTCGTCAATTTGAGGGGTGACTTGGCATTGCTAATTAGTATTCGGCAACTTTAAATTGATCCCAAAATTAATTTAGAGATTGGTTGTTGAAGAAACAATATAATTTTGGTTGGCCCTAAAGTTGCGATTTAATTTTGTTCACAGTGCGAGTCGCAGCGTTGTGTGCTTGCGAACTTACTCGACTGACTCGCGCAACAAAGGGCTGCTGTGCGATTCCGCTTGACTATAACGTAGCTAGGCTTGTTGTTTGATGTAGTCCCTCTCTCTGTGAAGGATCTTATTGGAGACATACCGTAGGGCATTAGTGATTGTACGCAGGGTTCTGTTCTGCAAAACCTGCAGGCTGCGCAAATGCGTTTTGGGGAGAAAACACCAAGCCGCACTTGCGTACGTGATCGCTGGTCTACTAACCATCTTGTATAGCCGAACTTTGTTAATCAAACTTAATGTTGAGGTTCTACATAGCATAGGGTAGAGTTGCCGAAACGAGATTTTGGAATTTAGTCTATAACGCTTCAGTGTGCTTCTGCTAGGCACCCTATGGTGTTGGAGCTGGAACGAAATGGCTTTCAATACATCAATCAATCAACGTAAATATCAGTCGGCTTCATATGGAATTTTGAACCCTTGAAAACTGAAAGCCATACGGTTATGCAGGTGTTCCATGCGAATATATACCTTTCCATGGATTTATTATACAGGCTTTACCGGTATTTTATATATTTTGCTCAAAATAATACAGGGTTAAAATTTCAGTCAATTGTGACCGGAAACTATTTCCCATTTCCCTTTTTAAGTAAATAAAAAAATGTGTCTCACAACTGGCCAACATTCAAGTGCGTAGATCAAATCAGCACTAATGTAGCTACTTATCCATCATAATCAAGGTCCAAATTGATCAGAGAGTTGCGCTGGCGATTTCGTGATTTTTTTTTAATTTGCTACACTTGCACACGTTATAATTTGGAAAGCATTGATATTAGAGTTCTTTGCTCAGAAAGACTTTGAATCGGTCATATGGAGTATACTAAACATACTACAATCCCAGCCAAGTTGGCCAATGCTTGTGTGCCCTGCAACTCGGAAAAAATAGATACTCGAACGGAAGAATACTAAATTATCAACGAATTCGACCAAAAATGATTTTCTATGGGATTTGTCACGATTTCATGCACTCGATGGGAGAGCGTTTGAGAATTTGCTAACATGCTAACAACCTTATAATCAATGGCAAAAAAAATCATAAAGGCATGTTGGTGTATTTCATATGATCTTTTTTTCGAATTTATTATGCTTGCCTACTCTGTAACTGAGAAGCCGTTGATATTAGGACCAGGTGCCCGGGGAGACATTTGATCAAATTGGAGTAAAGTTTTGGGAGCATGAGAAACTTCGTTTTCTTTGTTATATCCAAAGCATTCAGGAAGCAGTTTTCGTAGATCTTTACAGTAAACTGTCTAAGAACGTAGGCTTCTTAAGTACCTTTTGATTATACAGGAAGTACAAAGAAACACTAGTCCATCCCTTGTATTGCTGTATTATGCTGCCTAATCTGAAATTCAATATATCTGAGGAGTATAAACTCCAAAGCGGAATGCTAGTTAAAAAAAATATTTTTCTTATAGAGCATCTATATCGGTTTAAACATTTTTAAGCAAAAGCTTACAGTAACAGAACATGCAACGACGTAAAATATTACCGATGCTCTACTAAGAAATGAAGTGCGCAAAATGTATATATGTGCCTTTTTGACATCAGATCATGCAACGAAAATGTCTTACCACAAAATTGTAAGGAGTATGG